GAGCAATGATTTTGGAGAATTAACTAGTTTCTTTGCCCGGTGGCTTGGCGCAGTGGGTAAATTCGTTCCCTCACATGCGAAAGGCTGCGAGTTAAAAACCCGGCCGGGTAGAATGGTGAGATCTAACCATTTAAAGTCTTCATCATCATCGCAGTATTCCCCAACCGGGTCGAAGCGATGTAAAATGACGATAAAAAAAAATCTAGCTTCTTCATGTGAAAAATTATCTGTTCCCCTCAAGAGATCTTTTGTCGTGGTGAATCAATTTACTTGTGAACAAAAAAGAAAGTCTTCACCAAAACATGATAATTTTCGTAGTAGCTATTATTTTCGTGAGCCATTTATGTCTCTCGGGTAAATACATTCATTCTATGAAACTTCTGGCAAAGCTAAATAATTTCGAGGGGACAATTTTTTTGGGAAAAAAATATTCTTTCGTCGTCAATGTATTCTTTCTATTATATAAACCTATGGAGTTCTCTCAGATTAAATGATTGCCGTTCAATAGATTATATTTTTTCCTGCCAGCAGTTTGAATTCTGCTAGGGATATTTCTGATGATCACGACAAAAATTAAATTTTTGTGAGAGATATTAAATCTCTTTTTATAAAGTTGGTTAATTTATCTGAAATAAATGTGTTTCACTCGTTTCGGTCGGTAATTGCTTATATTGTTTACAATAAATAGAACTAGATGAGAGTAGAGAATCCCCAACGGAACATAAATCACGAGAAAAAATGAATTATTGATGATTGAAAGGGAAAGATTAAAAGAATGAAACCTAAAACATTAAATATTAAATACCCAGACGGAAATGTTGTTAATGAATTAATTAATTCAACAGGAAACAAAACTCAAAACGAAAAAATTTCATTCATTTTTTTTTCAAATCATTCAATTAACAATATTTTTATGATATCAACTCGATGAAAAATTTTATTCCCGCATTTTTAAATGGAAAAACAGCACCAATAAAATTTTTCGGGAAGCAATATTATCGCTTGTACCAACCTCCTCGTATATCCTCAAATGGAACATTCTCCAATTCATAGCTCCAAGAAAAATCAAGTGTCCACTGTGTTCAAAAACTTTATACGCTGGGACTCAATCCAACTAGAAACTTGTTCTACTGTGCAAAAGTATGCCGGAAAAAAATTTTTTTTTTTTGAGATCTCTAAAAGTGTCGAAGAACGATGGAGTGAGTGGAAAAAGGTGGAGAGGAAAGTAGTGGGATCACCAAGCCGATGCTCAAGTTTAATACCCACTTGTCTGTACGCTCGGTATCGACCGGTGGGGATAGCGCCTGGATTTAGTATTTTTATGTAGGTAATTTACACAATGGTTTGGGGTGAGTCGTGGAGAGTCGTTTTCTTTATGAGGCGATGAGTCTTTTTCGATTATTAGATGAGAAAGTGGTGAATTGCGGGATTTTTATTGCTCTGGAGAACTTTATTTTCCCTAGTAATCAATTATTAAGAACCAATGGGACGTTTTGATGGGTGAGCTAGATAATATCAAGTAAATATCATTATGAATGCCCTTGGGATTCATATTTAAATATGAGGAAGTGTCACGACATCTGCAGAAGTATCAAGAAACTCATTCTTTCGATAAACATCTGAGAGGAAATTGCCTGTCTGACTAAACAGGATTTTTCTACTGCCGGCATGAAATAATTCCTGCATTATCAATTGTCGGCATTAACGGACAGTCGCTAAGGTAGATGATACTGATATTTTTCCACCATAAGATAAGAAATAGAGGGATTTGTATTGCTTTGGCGTAATTTATTTTAATTGTTAGTTAATTATTGCGGACGAATGGGACGTTTTCATGGGTCAGCTAGATAATATCAACTAAATATCATTATAATTGCCCTTGGGATTCATGTTTGAATACGAGGAAGTGTCATGATATCTGTAGAAGCATCAAGAAACTTTAAAAATCAAGGAAATTTCATGCCCGACTGAACTGAATTTTTTCTACTGCCGGTATAAAATAATTTCTATGTTATCAATCGTCAGTAATAACGAGCAGTCGGTAAGATAGGTGATACTGATATTTTTTTCGACCATTAGATGAGAAATAGAGAAATTTAGATAGTTTTCGAGGCATTTATCTTCATCCTTAATTAATTATTGAGGATCAATGGGGCATTTTGAGTGATATGATCCCTTGGGATTCATATTTGAATATGAAAAAATATCACGACATATCCAGAAGCATCATGAAAATCATTCTCTCGATAAAAATCGAGGAAATTTCATGTCTGACTGAACATAATTTTTCTACTGTCGGTATAAAATAATGTCTGCATTGTCAAGGGTCGGTAATAACAGTCGGCAATACGGGTAATACTGATTACTGCCGTTACCTACTGTCGGCATATCACTACGAAATAATTTTTTATTCTCATATTTCTGGATCAATAACAATGTTGTTGATGCTCAATATCAGAGACATCAGTGGGAATTCAATTCACAGAGTTGATAAATAATTCTTCAAGACGACTTTGGATTGTCTAACATTTATTAATCAATTACATCATCCAACCCTGAATTATGTACACAATCTCCTCAGCATGCATCCCCGAAAAAAATCTAATACATCATCTGCATTAACCATCGTCTTATGTACACGTCCCTGAGGCGTATCCTACTTCATACATAATTACATTAATCAATAAATAATCCTTAATCTATATCATATGAGCTAACATAGTAAATGTCCATAGCCCACATCGAGGCCACCATTCAATCCGATAATCCATGTGAACCAGAATATCTGAAACCAATGCCCCCCAGAATATCTCAAACCCAATGATGTGCAAGTGAAATTATTTCATAATTCTCCATGAGAAAATAAACACAAGTACGACCCACATACCCTATTTCCCCATTATTGTTAGGCTCTCCACAATCTCCAAGCGAAGGAATTGGCAGTAGAAAATCGATTGATAAGACGTATCTACTGATGAATTAATGATAAATACTACGATTTGCGACATGTTTTTGAACGTCTCTATAACCATTCTAGATCCAAATTTACATGAATATTTTATGTTACACTGAGAGAAAAAATTTGCTCTGCCGAAAAATGATGTGTTCTACGTGAAGAGATTTGATGGAGTGGAAGAGATTTACTCGGGGGAAACTAACCAACTTGATAGAAGGAAATTTAATATCTTTCACAAAAATTAAATTTTTGTCCTGACCATCAGAAATATCTTTAGAAGAATTTGAACTGTTGTTATTTAGTTTTGCCAATAACACAGTTATCGGTAAGAAAACTGTAGTTTCCTCTTGAAATTATCATTCGTTCTATAAAAATTATAAGTATTTATTGGACAAAGATATACACTATTCAATAACATTCACTTGATAAAACCGGAGGCTCATATAATTCTCTGTAGAACGAATGTATTTACCCGATAGCCATATAAATATCTCACGAGAACAATTACTACTACGAAAATTATCATGTTTTGGTGCAGACTTTATTTTTTGTCCACAAGTAAATTCATTCAACTCGACAAGAGATCTCTTCAGGGCAACATATAATTTTTCGGCAGACCTAAACTTCTCTCAGCGTATCTGGACTATTTTTCTCATTCAAAAATATAGCCCCAGACCACAACCTAAGAATTAATTGGGATGAGTCTCTCGCTTTTTCACAATACTTAAATTTTATTGTTATGAATAATCAAAATTCAGCGATGCCTCCGAATACTTCACTCGCTGCTCGTACAGTGTTTACATTTTCCCGTGCAAAGCCATGTTTTTCGCTTCATAATTGCAGAGCTAAATTTTCATACATGAACTGCACATTGTGATAGCAAGCTCTCATGAATGAATAACATAGATAACTCATTCTTTATTCATTCATCCTAGATCACCATCAAAGGAAAAAAATTGAATAAGAAACAATCATCGACCCACATTCGCACTCACTACTGGAACATACATTACATCGTCTTTATATACCACAAATTTTTACACAAATCGATGGGGTCGTGCATCTCGGTCGAGACATCTTGATTCCAGACCTCGTGATGCGGTTGGAGTTCTTTATTGTACAATGAGCACTGTTTAAAATAGCGCTTTAAGATGTTTTTCCATTGACAAATGAGACGTTTGATCGACAGGACATTTTCAGAATGTCTTGAAATACGAGTCATTGAATTTTAGAAAAAACGAATCGACGACTTGAATCGTTCGACTTGAATTTGAGACATTTTTTCTGTCTCAATTCAAGACGATGGCACTACAACAAGACATTACCCCATTGAGACATAGAATCATAATTTATTGAAGCTCTGAATTTATTGAAAGTCGGAGAGGTCATGACCGTGGGATATGTCAAATGAATTCAATCTGAGAGAAGAAATTAGCTCTTCCGAAAAATTCATTTAATTTTTAACGGAATTTATTGCAAGAAAATTACAAACAACAAAAAAAAATTCTTACAATAGGCCATCGCCCGAGGGCCTTCAGCCAAGTGTTTTCATAAGTACATAGTATACATCCGAAAAATTATATTTGAGGGAAATTAACCAAATTGATAGAAGGAAATTCAACATCTTTCACGAAAATTGAATTTTCGTCGAGATCATCAGAGATATTTCTAAAAGAATTCGAAGTGTTGGCAGGAAAAAATATAATCTATTGTGCGACAATCATTTGATCTGAGAGAACTCCATAAGTTTATACCATAGAATAGAATACCATACCATAGAATTTCCCAAAAAAATTGTCCCCTCGAAATTATTTAGTTTTGCCAATAACACAGTTGTCGGCAAGAAAATTGTAGTTTCCTCTTGAAATTATCATTTGTTCCATGGAAATTATAAGTGTTTATTGGACAAAGATATACACTACTCAATAACATTCGCTTGATAAAACCGGAGCCTCATAATTCTTTGTAGAACGAATGTATTTACCCGAAAGACATAAAAATGTCTCACGAGAACAATTACTACCACGAAAATTATCATGTTTTGGTGGAGACTTTCATTTTTGTCCACAAGTAAATTAATTCAACACGACAGACGATCTCTTTAGAAGAACATATAATTTTTCGTCAGAACTATTTTTTCTCTCAGTGTAAAACCAACGAAATATTTGAAAAAATAAATGCAAAATCATCAGGTCTAAACAAAAAATCATCAAGTAATACCCCTAGAATATCAAAAATGCATGTCTGAACGTCTTAATTTGAGACACTACAATCGATTTAAATTTGTGAACCCAAACGTGCAAAAAAAGAGGACAAGTGTCTCACCTGCCGACACTAGTTTTCTAGTGGAGATACCATCATGCCCCTGTTCAATTTCCCGCGAATGTCTTTCAGGGTTTAAGGGGGCTTTCTCTTCGATTATGTGAATTTCTTATCGAACAATACTCACATCGTATTCAGCCGAACGCCCATCCTCTCGAATCGCCCATTCGCAGCCTTAAAATGTGACTCGGCATCTCCAGCTCCCCCGACCTCAGACCGTAATCACGTGAATTTAATCAATGCATGGAAGACTAGGGCCTGAATTGCCCCATTCCCTTGTTAAAGTTTCTATAATCCCCATTCCCGCCCATTCACCATCACTTTATCATCACTCTTCACTCCTGACGAAGAAATCCGGATAATGAAAAATGGATATTGATTCGACTCCATTCATAATCGAAATGCAATTAATTTATCCGCGACTTTAGCAAGTCACGGTGGAAGGGGAAACAGCAATCGTGGATTATGCACCGACTGGTATTATCTCAACCACCTAGGAAGTTAGTCTTAATGCCAGCGTCACTGTTGCAAGTGCACAGAGATAACTGGAAGTGAGCTGGTGAAAGCTTGAGCCGGATGTGGACGATTGAAAATCGATTGAATCCTCCTCGTCATCCTCATCCTTCAGACTCAACTCGTCCTGTATTCCACCTGTCTTCTTGTTGCGCTCTTGATCCATCTTCCAGGCTTTTTTCGAGTCGCGACGGATATTTGGCTTACGGGTTGTTGGTGGCTTCGGTATCTCTGTAAGGAGAAAGGATGAATTAAACGTGAGGATTCTTTTTTTTTGCTCCTGGAAGCTTTTGGAAAGAATCGCTCACATTTGAGTTTACAATTTTTTGTGTTAGGGTTACTAAATATGGTCCAAAAAGCCCAAATATGCGACTTTGTTATTTTTCTTCATCTTTTTCGAAATTTTCGAATTTCCTCATGAATACCGACTTAATAAGCTCTATTCATTGACACCAAATGAAATTCAATTTTTCATACAGATTCTACAAAATTGATATTTCACCAAAAATCGATTTTTCAATGATCACTCAAAAATTTGACAACAATGTCCTCTTGATGTTATCAGAATATGATGGGAATCGCACAATTAGTTGCTGAGTTACAGCACATTGTTTATGCGATTTGAAAGAGAAAATCGGATTTTTCATTATTTCTGACAGAATCATCAGTAATAGCAATTGAATCAGGGCTTGAAAAATATATTTCAATGCCTTCTTAATCAAGTTGAAAAATGGTGAAAACAGCATCATTACTTATCAAGTTACACAATACCGTCATGAGCTTTTATATCAAAATCTCTATTTCTATTAAGCTCAGGTACCAGTCTATTATATTGAATACTTATTCATATTGATTCATGGTTCCGACTACCCTAGTAGAAATTCTGACTGGCAGGGCGACATTTGGTGGGCGCGCGCGCTCCAACATTTAGTCTCGTATATTGGGCGAGCTAGAGGGGACGTTCCGCCATTAGCCACGTGTATGCTACAGTATAGAACTGAGAAGATTGTGCCCCTCAGAGTTACCCCCACTTTAGTCAATCCCCACTCACATCCTTGTCTCCCACCTCTGAAAACCAAAGGCACAATCTCCTCAGTCTGACCGTATACGAGCGTCACCCCTGGAAATTCGGGGCGACGGCGCTCGGACATTTGATTTCTACTAGGGTAACTTCTGACAGAACCTGGGTTAAACTGTGGCTAAATCCTGAATAAACCTTGATTAAATCCAGGCTATACACTCATTAAACCTTGATTAAACCTCGATTAAATCCGGACTGAAAACGAATTCGAGTCTTGAGAGGGTCTGAATGTTGAATTAATCGACAGAACGAAATAATACGCAAAATTTTGATGACATTTCGATTAATGATAGTACTGTGACATGAAAAAATAGAAGAAGAGAATAGTGAAATAAGAATTAAAAAAAGAAAACCCATTCGAAAACAATAACTAGTTTAGTTATTGAGTTTCATTTATTAAAAAATGGAATTGTCCACTTGTTTTAGATAACGTTCAGCGAGATTTATTCTCGGTTGTTTGAGTAGAAAAATAGGCTATGAAACACCATTATTTCGCATTAGGAGGATCAGACAAGTCATAGCGTCCATTGAATTCCCCAAGTCCCACATTCACTGAAACTGAACCTTCCAATAACATCTCCAATACAACCAGCCTACACTCGTTAATCCCATGCTCGATCGATGTCCAATGTAAATGCGGCGGCCTCCCTCCCCCTCTCGCCCCGGATTTCTCATTTTCGTGGTTGTACAAGTAGAAACGGACGGGGTCGTGTCGTCTCTGAGATACGGTTATGTGTTTTGTCGATGTTGGCCGAGGTCACTCTGTTTTCAGAATATCCCTATGGGCCTGGCTAGGAGTGCGGTAGCAATCGATGAGTTAACGCTACGGAATAAGCCCGGACTTTCAATCCAACCGCTTGTTGAAAAATTTGTCAAAACCCACTGTCATTTTCAATATCAATTTTGTTGTAGAATCGTGCGTATCGAATCTATCTATATTTATCTTTCTCTCTTCTTTTATTACGCATTTTTTGCCTGTATCTCCGGTTTTTATTGACGACTCGGGGTCACACAACGCTTGGACGTGGAGCATTTGAATGGACTATGACAGTCGGCCGCAGGGTAACGATGTTCCAATTAACGTTTCTACCGTAAAAACATGGAGGGAAACGACAAGTTTAATGATGGTTTGGCGCACGGGTGACAATAGATAATAGAAAAATTGTAGTACATTCGTTGAATGTGAAATAAAGGGGCGTGTGAAGGGAGGTTGGTTATGAATTATTTCATTGATCTTCCTCCAAAAGTAGAAAAGCATTTTATGGGAGAAAACAAGTGGGAAATTGCTCTTGTACTGCATATAGTAGAGTTATTTTTGCTAATAAATTAGCAATATGCTTCCGAATGGTTATCCTACGCATCGTTGCCTTCTTGGTTGAGTGTTATCATCATCATTATTCTTATTATTCCTTTCTTCTATACAACCGATTGTCCCTTTTACGATTCTATCTCTCCCCTCAGCCCTTCGATAAAATGTGAATAGAAAAATTTTATTTATACGTATTTGAATAAATTTAAAACATCTCATTTGAAGAGACCATCAGAAAGCTCACTTTCAGGGAAATTTATTAAAAATTCGAAATTTTCAACAATCATCATGAAAATCAAATCAACCAATATAGTTATCGTAATGATCTTTTAACTTCGACTTAATGGCATTAAAATAAACATTTCAAGCTATGATTGAATTCACTTGAAACATGATATTCAAAGATATCCCCGGCATTCTGATTTTCAAAAAATACAAACTTTTTGCAAATTTTCAAATAAATCAAAATAACTATTATTGCTATCGCCACTATCTTCGAACTCGGTCAAAAGGACATCCAAACAAATTTTTTAAGCCATCATTCAATCAATTCAGAACATTTTTTTTAGTTATCGTGGGACAACGGATTTTCGAAAAAATTCAAAAATTACAAAAACTAATCGATGAATTAAATTTTATAATTCATTCTATCCATTCAGTAGCGAAAAATTGATGAAAATTTTCGATACATACGCACACACATACACACATGCAAGATTTTCTCTCAATTATTCCATTTCTCGTCGAATCCATTTCAGAACACCCAGCCACTTATTACGAGTATACCAGATACATAATAAATTCCACAAATCACGATCAGCTCATCGTGTATTCAGCTCGAAGCCACAAAAAAAGTCATCTATTTCAGATGTTACGACACATCAGGCGACAATTTCTACCCAAACCCCTTGAATTCGTCACTTCATTTTATTTATTCCTACTCACTGTCATTTCCAATAGATTGGATGAATTTATCCTACCGGCAACTCGGTGACTGACACATCGGAGCGGCATTCTGACGTGACCGCAGTGCATCAAATATTCCTTCATATTCTATTCGTTATTGAATTACTGTGACGCCATAAAAATGTACCGACGTTTGTGAACAATGGTTCAACCTAACGAGCAACTCTCCTTTTTTCATTTTATTTTTTCGAAATAATCCCGGCGAGAGATGATCATATCCAGTTCAATAATAATATTAATAGATCATCAGAGCCTAGCAATTGATTTAATTCACTCTTTCGATCTCTCTCTCTCTCTCTCTCTCTCTCTCTCTCTCTCTCTCTCTCTCTCTCTCTTGACCCTTAACAACCTTCAACACTTACCACTCGTCTGACCCTCGCAATTCCACAAATAGTGCATCATATTTGTTGAAATTCCTCTCATTTTTTCTGGAATAACTTCTGTGAATGAAGCTCTTGTCGTCTATACAAATCAATTGCATTCGAATTCCGCAACCACTCAACCAAATTGAATTTTAAGAAATTAGTTCACGAGTTATTGGCGATGCCAATATGAAATTTCTATGAAATGATAAATCGAGACGATTATTAAACCAAAATGTCACGTATGAAACATTTGTGTAGAAAACCTTTGCGAATTCGCTAGAAAATTCTGTTGAAATTTTCTCGAAATTTTATAGGGATTCTATTCAAATTCTAGGGAATTCTCGTTAAAATTCCATTTATTTTTTTACATTTTAACATTTTTTCTATGAGATCTTTTCTCTTAACTTTATTGGGCACAAATTTTCTAAATGTTTTCGGCTATATTTTGTTTTGTATTCCATTAGAAAATCCGACTTTTTCTATCAAATCTCTCATAGAATCAGCTTAAAAAACTAATAGAATTTTAACGAGAATTCCCTAGAATTTTAGAAGAATCCCAATAGAATTTCTGGAGAATTCCAATCGAATTTTCTAAAGAATTCACAAAGTTTTTCCATTGAATTTTTTCATGCGTGGTCAGCTTTAATTCGGGATTAACTGACCGTTGAGGGAAATTTTCAGGCTCTACCGTCTACACAAAATCCATCAGGTCGCACATGCTTCCAATTACATTTGACAGTTTTACATTCTGCATATACGTTAATTGGATTTTTATAATTATCGTTTTGGACGGACATTCCCTATCGCTGACAATTGAATACGTATAGAACAAATGGCTGGAAAATACCGTTAAAATTCATTGTCAGATAATAATGAGGATTATTTTTTAAACCAGAGTACACCATGTTCAATTCAGATATAATCCCGAATACGTTTTCGCGATGATGTAGAGAGTAATGGGGGTAATGAAAAATTGCTCATTGAATTGGTGAATAATGCAACGAAATATGTATGCGAAAATGAAATCCCATTTATTTCGCTGAATCCTTTTTTTAACGATCATGTATCGGAAAAAACTGGCCATTGACAGACGAGTGATTATTTCCTTTCAATTATTATTTTTTGGACCATTTTACTTACTATATAATTTTATTTTCCCATCGGTCTCTCCGAGTGAATTGGTAGCTATACAACGGAAAGATCCGTAGTCCTGCGGTCTCATCGATCTTATTATGAGTCTCATGGTTGTCACGTAGCCGTTGGTGTTGACGTCCACCTTGTAATTATTGTCTGAAAAATGTTTTTTTTTAATTCCATTTTTCCACCTAAATCACGTGAAGATTTCTAGGGCACCTGATCTGGTCAGCCGCTACACCTAATTAGGTTCGATAATTTAAGAAGTTTGAATTAGTGATTTATTAATTCCATTAGATTCAATATTCGAAGGTGCTGAGGTGGTTTGAGGGTGCATTGTCGGTGGTGCTTAGAAAAGCCTGATCAAGTCCTGGAATTTAGCAAATGACATGGCCTGATCAGGATCGCGCAAGCACAACCCGATAGAAAGTTCCATCGATTAATTCAAAGAGCGCTGGAATCTACACCTGAGTCAGGATCAGAATCGCAAACGGGGCCTGATCAGGTACGTAAATGAAATGCATTGATCAGGATCTTATGACCAGTCAGTGAAAGGGCCTGACCATGATCGTCGATGCCCAATTCCACCGAATGTCCCATTAAAAAATCACATCGTCCTAATTTGCACCTAAACCGGAATCAGGTCGACCCCAGGTTCAGACACCGGGTTCGAATCAGGTCAGCCGAAACATCATATACCTCTGAACTGCCATAAATATGAATCACTTCACCATACAAACACCTGATAAGACCCATAAATCACCCTGATCAGATGCAACCATGAATATTCAACAAACTGCATCCCCCTGATCAAATTTTCAGGCCCCATTAAACGGCGGTCCCGATCAGGTCCGCTCAAACAAAAAATGGCGGAAAATTTCAGGAAGAGATTTTCATTTCTCTCGCCCTGACAATCGGTATCTGAACCTGAATCAGGTTTTTCCATTCTGAGTAGACCATGTCCTGCGGAATTCAACAAACTCTCACAAAATTCAGACATTATCCAGCGGATTTTCATTCCCTGCACAAGACATGTCATTCCAAGTGAGAGAATAAATCGATTCAGCAACAATGCACGACAATATCAATATTTTTCAAGCCGCCCGAAAATACTGACGAGCAACGGATTAACAATTAAAACGCTCGAGTCACGCACCAGCAAACTGCGTTGCAGTTTATCAAAGTGAGAGTGTCACAAAGGGGTAGTTGTAATATCGCCTGTTACGTGGGATTTCAAATGAGTGGGTGATTTTCAGGAGAATGTTGAGAATGCCTTCACCCTCTGGAGCACGCAATTCTGATGGAAGTCTAATTGCAGCGTGCACCACTGCTTCAAAAAACCTAATTTGCAGGGTCGTCGAGACGAGAAGTGTGAAAAAGTAAGAGGTACGGAGGCATTAGAACGATGACTCGTGAAAAATATTGAATATAACCCGAGTGCACTGAAAACTCCGAGTGTCGTTCTGCTGGCCATGGGAAATAAACAAGTGGTTGCTCACAAGGAGAAGCAATAAACTCGGATATTTACGTTTTGAGCTTTGAGCTTTATGAAACTTGGTTAAACGCCCGGTGTTGGCATGACGAAAGAACATGCTAAATTGGCATTTTAGCTTGGGTACACGAAAGATGGTATTAGTTGCACTGGAGAATGAAGGGAGGGGATGCGAATTTTTCTCCCAACGTTTCTTATTAAATTGTATCATTATGAAGTTCTACTTTGAGAGGTGAAAGCCGTGAATTCATGCACTTGGAGTTCATGCGGTCTGCAATGCAATTTTACAATTGGGCGATTTTCATTTTATAAATGCGAGAGTGCCATAATATTCAGATGATCATGGAAAATGAAGTTCACGAAGACGTGACATTTTGAATTTTATCCTCCCAAAAGTTAAATCAAACAGTCTCGATGTCAAATCCATTGAAATAATAAGAAGTGAAAGAATAAGTTTTCAGCATTCAAGCAGAGGATACCAAATGACTTTTTTAACTACTTCGACCAACTCGACAGCGAGGGCTTTTATTGGAAACGAAAAGTTTATTCCACGAATTGAGCATTAAAACCGAGTCGTGTAGCCATCCGACCAATGTGGACATAAGGAAATTATTCATTTTACCTCGTGGTAAACTATCTTTACCGCTGTGGCGAACGTTGATTTAGCGGTTGAGTTGGGCCAAGCGTTTGCCTTTACAGTGATGACAGAAACTCTGTCACGGGGGGATTAAAACTTACCGTTTACTATGGTCTCATTCGTTGGCCTAGTCCAGTAAGCAATTGGACGTGGATAAGCCTCACTGTTGCACTCTAGAACTAGGGTTTGATTCTCGTAAGCACCAATCAGCTGATTCTCAACCTGAATCATCGGTGAAACTGTTGGTGAAAGACGAAAAATCGACATAAGATTTTTTTCCCCTCAAATTATTACAATTATTCCATTAATTACTGCCATATAATTATAGCCGAACCTAAATCAGGTCCGCAAATCGAACCTGATCAGGTCACAAGGTTGCTTCGACTGACGAACCTGTTCATGTTCACACAAACATACTTCCTAAAATTAATTTTCTTGGGTTGCACATATTAAATCAGTTATTCTGATCTGCTGACACTTCATCAGGTTGGGCAAGTCACCTGATCAGGTTCTCGAGTTCGTGTGGCATTGATTTTGAAAATTGGGCTGAAATCAATATAAATCAAATGTAGATATTCTGAGAACTGATCAGGTTTCCTGGAAAGCCTGATCAGCTTTTTAGGTTCAGCCTAATGAAGAAGCCGATCAGGTTCGAATAAACACATGCACGTGCCGAAAGGCTTATGAAAGAATCTTCAGCGATTTTAATCAACTCAACTCTCAAATAATTAATCTCCATCATATAATGATTTTCTGGGGTTAGAATTGTTATAGATTTAACCTTTTAACCTAATGATACCTGATCAGGTGAATCTACAGACCTGATCAAGCACTGATTCAACATCCCTCCTGATCAGGTCCTTGGGTGAGCCTGATTCAGGTACGTGTCATAATGCTGATCAAGCTCAAATGGAGGTCATGACTAAAGTCATAAGGGTCATAAAAACAGTTATATCTTCTGGACCTTATGACCGTTATGAGCCATCGAATTTTCTCTTCTCATTTTAACGTTAAATTTTCTTTTACTCACAGTGAACGATGAGCAAGATTCGCTTGCTAACAGAGGGTGGTACGCCATTAGAAGCGATGCACAGGTAGGGTCCCATGTGCAGTCGAGTCACTCGGATTAACTCCAGCTCCGGGCCTTCCAGTACCTGCGCTGCAACGGTTTGTTCATTGTAAATAGGCGGGAAATTAGAAGGAAAAGCAACGAAGTGACATAAAGTAAGTGGAAGCAATTGTTTCAGGTGTGCAAATTTCTCATTTCACTGGTTATGAACGAGACTCTTCCATATTCAGACACAGTGCAATTTGCTCAATGGTGAGCAGATGAGAACACCGTTATCTCCAGGGACATTAAAGAAAGTGGAGGGATGAGAAACGAGTTTGTAGACAACTGTGAGGGAGACAGATTAAAAATCTGGGTTTTATTCGGATGCTAACACCTGTTGAGGGTTTATGCAGGGAATGGATTATCGGGAGGAATATCACTCGAGAACTTTTCTGGGCATTCACAATTGTTACGAATGGTGACAGATCATTCTGTTGACTATAATAAGTGTCACAAGGTTCGCAAGAGGTTCGTGTAAGGGTCATAATGTCATAAGAGTCAACTGTATGGTGACAAATTATTCTGTTGACTATAATAAGGGTCATAAAGGTCATAAGGGTCGCAAGGGTCATAAGGGTCAAATGAGGGCGATCGAAATGTCATAAAAATTATAGGAATTAAGGTCGCAAGGGTCACAACAGGTTCATAAGGGTTATAAAGGTGAAGTAAGGGCCAGGAACATGTTAAAAGTCATAAAAGTAATTATAAGGGTCAATGGAGGGTCAAACATCATGGGATAAATTCAACAATTGTCCTATCTCCACAGAGACCCTTAAACTGAGCCCCACTAAAGCAGATAGTTCGAACAGTGAGAAAATGTTGATTAATGGGTAACGGGATATCCACCAGAGACACCTTTGAAGCAAGTTAATTTTCTCACTGAGGCTTGTATTTTCCCATCTTCATTCGTCAGCTACATCGCTCCTCTCATTACCCCCATTCCCGTAACTACTCGTTTTGCTTATCTTTGTCAAAGATGATTCCTGGTACTCTATTTCTTTTTGCTAATCCACCCGCTTCAAATCAAGTGAAGCCACTTGCGACTCTATCCCAACGAAAAATTTCACGAGTTATTTCTCTATCAGGAATTCATCTCCCTTTAATTTTTCCTGCTTTGAGGTCATAATATTTTCCACGAGGTGCACTAAGTGAATTTCGTCATGGCCAGTGCAATTTTACGTAGTAATGCGAGTATGCGAGCGCCTTTTAAAATTTTAGAACGGGGTTTTAGGGGAGTAGGTGCAGCTCGTAATTAACTGTGAAATGTGAAAAAATGGTCATTAAAAAAGTAATTAAGAATATGTTTCGGGGATGTTTATAAATTATATCAAGAATGTAGAGACGTAATTCATGATCATTGCCAGGTAGGAATTGACGATAGAAATAGGGCTCATCAAGCCCTGGACCAAGGCTTGGAAATGCTCAATCAGGGCTGAGGCTCAACCTTGGATCTGCTCTCCTTCAGCTCCAAAATGATAACTTCGTTTCAAACTTAGTCCATAAGGCTTGAACAATGCTTGGCGCCAAGGCTTGGTCCAAGCCTTGAATTACAAAATTTTAAAGGCTCAATCGCACTTCTTTTAAATAAATCATATTAATGTTTACGGATGTGTTCAAATAATTTCTTATTGCTTCATAACCCCTTTTATGAAGCCAGAGCAACTTATGAAAAAGACTGACGGGACTATGTACAGTTCCTCGTGTAAAAAAAAAATTTATTTCTGCATTTCTGGGGCAAGTGAGGGGCGCAGTGGCATTAGGCGGGCCAGAAAATACAGAATCAACGTTCACCCGGCGGAAAAATTCGATTTTGGCGAAAGTCGACTTTCCCCCCGAAAAAAGCCTAGATATGGCACTTTGGCTTCGGGTGAAAAAAAAAAATTTTTATTTCTGCATTTCTGGGGCAAGTGAGGGGCGCAGTGGCATTAGGCGGGCCAGAAAATACAGAATCAACGTTCACCCGGCGGAAAAATTCGATTTTGGCGAAAGTCGACTTTCCCCCCGAAAAAAGCCTAGATATGGCACTTTGGCTTCGGGTGAAAAAAAAAAATTTTTATTTCTGCATTTCTGGGGCAAGTGAGGGGCGCAGTGGCATTAGGCGGGCCAGAAAATACAGAATCAACGTTCACCCGGCGGAAAAATTCGATTTGAATTAAGGCGAAAGTCGACTTTCCCCTGAAAAATCCAAGATGACATTTTCGCCCCAGGTAAAAAAAAAAATTTTATTTCGACATTTCTGGCGCCTTTGAGTGTTTCATTAGCATCAGAAACGTTAATCGATATAAAAATTAAGGAATGTAATCGAAACTAACTTTCATTTTTGAGGCCTTGCAGAGGCTCGAATAAGCCTTGACGTACTGAGCCTCAATACTCAAAGCCTGAACTAGGCCTGAATTCAATCTTGGCCATGGCCCCTTGAATCGCCCCCATTTCAGGCTCGAGTGAACGATGAAATCAAGCCCGTCCGAGGCCTGAGTCACTGATCCTCGCCAAACCTAGGCTCGCACAGGCTTGTTTCCATCGTCAGCCTATATAATTCCTACCTTGGATATCTTGGATTTTTTCGGGGGGAAAGTCGACTTTCGCCAATCCCGAATTTTTTCGCCGAGTGAATGTCCATTCCGATGATTCAAGCGACGGGCTATCCGGAATTCTCAAAAGTATGTGGAAAAAATGAAAAATATTTTTTTTTATCAATGTCAATGCTTACCATCATGCCAGTTTGACAGGGCTATCCTTCCCCCAGCCTCTCGTCGCCAAGTAACAGTCGGCTCGGGTGTGCCAGTAGCAGCACACCTAAGGGTCACATTGCTCCCCTCCCTCACAACCATATCCGTGCTCGTCGGGTAATCCAGAATGTCCGGTGGTACTGAAACACGTGAATTTAAAAAAATACAATTATAAACAACACATGAGCGACTACGCATTATTTTGCATCCTCTCTACTAATAAAACAACGTGATGTACGAGTTTTCCGTCTGGATTGATTCAGAATAATTCATGAATGGAAAATTCAAAGCTTTGTGAAGCAACTTGAATCACGGTTATCTGAATCTCGTGACGAATGCCAAACATTTTTTAAAAAATTTCGTGCGAACAACTGTCAACACTAAATTGCCAATAACTCTCTCCGTGGATTTTTTCAACCTATTATTCTCTCTGGCAATTCAACTCGAAAGGCGGAGGAGAGAGAGGGCGTCTCTCGGTACCAACCACCTTTACCGGCGTTAAATCGATTTAAAGTAAATCCAGTAGGGTGATATCGTGACCAGTGACTATAAATGCATTCTGGGGTATGGCATCGGTAATAAAAAGAACTTTTCGGGGAATTTATCTGAGGAGAAGGCCTTTGAAATACTTCAATCATTGCAGGACGTGATTTATTCGTAATCGTTGTGGGCTGAGACGTTGGGAGGATGATCGAGAGTGAGAGAAGGTACGGAAAAATTTCAAAATCAAAATAATTAAATCATACAAGTGTTTACCTGGAAATATTCTACAGAAATTCGTTGGCTCAAATTTTTCCAGTTTTTTCGTTTGATTTTTTTAAAGAAGAGAGAGAGAGAGAGAGAGAGAGAGAGAGAGAGAGAAAAATAAAGTGAAAAAAGTTGGGGAATTCATGTCGAGGAATTCCTATAGAAAATGTTTCAATAGAAGATGTTTTACAAATAAATGAAATTCTAGAGATTTCCTTCATAAAATAAATATTCAATTCTATTCTACTCATATATTGTACTATATAGTATTATTCATTATATTATATTAATATAATAATACAAATGTTTGACGTTTTCAATAATTAATAAAATTTTCGTGGGAGAAAAAATTAATGAGATCATGGGGGTCGTAAGAACAGTTATAAAAATCAGGTAAGGGTGACCCTTACGTAACCTTTGTGATTCCTAAGCATTCTTGATTCCAATCACTCATTCATGCACAAAGCTGATGCGGGAGGAAGGGAAGGACGATGGAACGAGAAAAAAAAGGAATGAATGAAAGATGGGAGAGCAATGCGATTCGATTTCCCAACAACGCGCACGTCGTGAGGCTATCGTGCTCACCGGGCAATTCATTCAAACGACGGGAACAATAACGTAAAAGAATAGGGGCGGGGGGATACAAAAGAAAGTCAAAATGGATTTACAGATATGGATGGATGGAGGCGATATTCGATGGGAAAAAACAGTTCTAATTTTTATTGGACTCGAGTAGAAAGAATGATATAGAGAATGAAACGAGAGGCAGATTTGTGCCTTCCTTGCAATCCCTCTCTTGACATTACTCAAGCCTTGGAAAGCGGATAAGGGTATTCAGTCGTTTGTAGTGATCTCTTGTAAAAATTACCTAATAAATGTTCCACGTGAGAATATTTGATGGAGTGGAACCGATTTGCTTGAGGAAAATTAACCAACTTGATAGAAAGAAATTTAATATCTTTCACAACAATTAAATTTTCGTCGTGATCATCAGAAATATTACTAGAAAAATTCGAACTGTTGGCAGGAAAAAATATAATCTATTGTACGGTAATCATTTGATCTGAGAGAACTCCATAAATTTATGCCATGGAAAGAATACATTGACGAAGAAACAATATTTTTTTCCCAAAAAAAAATTGTCCCCTCGAAATTAGTTAGTTTTGCCAATAACACAGTTTTCGGCAAAAAAATTGTAGTTTCCTCTTGAAATTATCATTTGTCCCATGGAAGTTAGAAGTGTTTCTTGGCCAAAGATACACACTACTCCATTAATTCACTTGATAAAACCGGAGGCTCATATAATTCTGTGTAAAACGAATGTATTTACCCGAAAGATATATAAATGTCTCACGAGAACAATTACTGCCACGAAAATGATCATGTTTTGGTGGAAGCTTTCTGTTTTTTTTCAACAAGTAAATTGATTCAACACGATGAAAGATCTCTTCAGGGGAACATATAATTTTTCAACGTGATCATTCACCCGTTTGAAATAATTTATTCTAAAAACTCCCCAAAAAATCATTTGAAATTTCCATTCATAAGTAAAAATCACACCCAACCGATGGGTCCCACACGATCATCACTCATTTTCTCGCCTCGACAGCCCCTCCTGCCACTAGAATATTAACCTCCGGCCTCTTTCTACACAACAACCGATGAAAACCCCTCCAAGGAATAACCAAAGAGCTAAGAGAGAAGGGAAAAAACTTAACGAGGGTATTTTGCGGCGGAGTATAAAACCGCCCTTTGCCTATCGGAATTCAAAAAAGATAGGAAAATAAAGGAGCTAAAAAAAGGACAATGAAAGCTTGAATACAAATAAAAGCGGAGGTCGTAAAAAATTTATATCATTTTCCGGTTGGTGGCCAACGTGAGAATCTCACCAGTTTCCTTCACACGTCCCCGGTAATTGCAGTTGGTTGAAGGGAAAAAATATAATGGAGGATTTAGGGGTGATGAAGGAAGCAAGAGTGGGCCAGTGAGACAGTGATGGTACGTTATTAGTTGAGAAGCCAGCGGCACGTCGCCAGGAACGCGTTTAATAGACCCCCCCCCCTTCCCACCCAGTAGGACTACTATCGGCCTAGTGCACTGTATGGCATACTTTGCATACATTTGCATCGGCCCAAGTGCTGCAAATCGGTGGCAAAATGGGCGGAATACCGTGGAACGCACGTCTCTATCTTGGCGAGCCAGTCTACTTGGTTATATAATGATAGGTCAGTGACGAGAGAGCGGTAACTTGGCGAGAAGATAAAAAAAAATATGGCATATTTTTGGTTGATGAAGAGACTTGTGCATTGTTGAATTAATGGCGATGGGTGTAGGAAGGATTTATGACTTCATTAAGTAAATTAGGCGTAGAAGTATTATGTGAATTTGGACCTGATTCAGGTTCAGATACAGATATTTACATGCAAGGTAGTTAAAATAAATGCGATGTTTTGTCATGGATTTGATCAGAGTTTTCTATTCCGCAAACATTTGTTCCTAATCAGGCTCGCTGAAGAACCTAATTAGTTCGGGAAGCTAAGGGGTCGGTGGATATTGATCCTAATCTCATCAATTTTATGAATTTAAATGTCAGAAAATTGAGGGTCCGATCAGGTACACAGTTAGGCCTGATCAGGTATATAGTTCAGTCTGATCAGGTCACGCGACAACACACGTTGGTTTTTCTCCTGATAAGAAACCCGATTTGAGGATCATATGAACTTTCAAACCTGATCAGGTTTGTAAATGCACCTGGTAGGGGCGCAGGAGCACCTGATTTTGCAGGCGCTAGCACCTGATCGGGTCGTAGAGCAACTCGACTTCTTCCATTTTCATTCCATCTCTATCGATATTGGAAAAAAATTCTCCAAGAGTTGTAACACCTGATCAGGTTCATATCAGAATCTCATGAGCACTCGGGATTTTCTTGATGTACCATTACATATAATTGGATTTTCAGTACTTACCAACAACCTCCAAAAATCCCGTATTACTGGACATTGGATCTGTATTAACTTGACACATGTACCAGCCACGATCCGTCTCTCGCGTGTCGCGTATATGCAGAGACCAAGTGCGATGGCCACTGTGCGTTACTGAAATTCGGTGATTCTTCGTGATCACGTGACTTGCTATCGTTAGGATGGTCTGCGTGTCGACTCGTAACCATGCCACCTGCAAAAGTGCCAGATATATTTGAAAATAGAAGTCTTGTAACATTCCGGAAACCCATTCACTCGCAATCTATTTTTATGGTTCTCAAATATTGACGGAGAGTTGATAATAAGTGAGATCCTACTCTCAGTTGCTTTTGCTCAAAATCGTTTATACTTGAGCGACTCCCTCATACCGTGATTTTTCCGAATATAAATCACTAGCCGAGTCGAATAATTGGACCTGACAAGTTCTACTTAGGTCTTTCCGTTCAGAACTGGATAGGTCTTGGGAAGCCTCTTCCCAAGTGCTTCCGAGACTTTTCTACCTCTGGTTATGTCCCATTTCAGCGCTTGTTAGGTGTAAGCAGGGCTTGTATTCAGACCGTCCAAATCCTTGCCGGTCCCCGTAATTCTATGGGCCTATATTAAATCTGCGTTCATATCCCTGTTTATTCATGCGTTATTGAAATAAAAAATGCAATTGTTTTTTTTTAATCTCGAAAATCGACATTTCATGAGAGGGTGGAGGGGAGATGCATGTATGTGGAGGCTTGACATTTTTACCCAACAAGGAGAGAAGGTTGCAGAATCTATTCTAGCCACTCTTATCCCTACGCTTGCATGCATTATCCAAATAAAAAATGAAAGTGTTAACAAATCTGACCATTGGTCCAAGTAAAAACCGAAAATCTGACCCTGTGGCCCCCGGTGAAAAAATTTTTTTTTCAGTTTGCAC